TTTTAACAAGGTGTTCTCTGCCCGATTGCTGGGTGGACGTGGGCTAGTCAGCCTCCTGCGCCATTGGGGGGGGGGCGTTTTTGCCCTCCTTGGGCTCTGGAGGCTTTCTTCGAGCCTCCAGGAGGGTGAAAATGGCCTCCTCAGGCTCCGGAGGCCCTCTAGAGGCTGGAAACAGGCCCATTTCCAGCCATCCTGAACTTCCGGTAGACCCGTTTTCCCTCTCCCCGAGCCTCCCCGCGTGCCCTGTACTTACCTGTATCCAAAACGGGTCACGTGGAGACTCCTGGGAAGGGCAGGACGAGGCAACCAGGAGTGGGATTTGGGGGTTCCCAAACTGTACAAAATCTTAGCTAGAGGTTTTCACCCCCTACGAACCCCCGAGCAGCCCACTCCTGAACCTACCCCAGAAGATTCACCGACAACAGCGCGCCCGACAACAGCGCGCCGACAAAAGCACAGGGACAAAAGAGTGAGTTCGAAATCACGCCAAAGAATGAGGACAGAAGCGCGCCGCCAACAGCGCACCGACAGAAGCGCACTGTAAACCTAACCCTAAAGGTAACCCTAACCTAACCCTAAACCTAACCCTTATCTTAACCGTAATGGCGCTTCTGTCGGCGCGCCTTTGTGGGTGCGCTATCGACATTGCGGTTTTATCGACACGGTTTTGTCGGCACGCTGTTGTCCGGCGCGCTTTTGTCTGGTCATGACCCCAGAAAGACCCCAATTCTTCAGAGGAAGGCAAATTCCTGAAGTGCTTGTGTGAACCAAATATCCTTCTTGTGTAAACTTAAAAATAGCAGCCAATTCTGTTGTCCGGAACGGTTTCCCTTTTTTTGCTGAAAAGTATTCAGGTGTCTTCTTTTGTTTTCTTTTTTTTTCTTCTCCTTTGTGCCCACAGTTCTCTTTTGAGAATGTGAAGTTCCGGCAACTGCAGAAGGAGAAATTCCAGATTACAAACAACGGCCAAGTCCCCTGCCACTTTTCCTTCATCCCCAAGCTCAACGACACACAGTACTGCAAACCCTGGCTCCGTGCCGAACCCAACGAAGGGTACTTAGAGCCAGGTGAGTCTTGAGGAATAGGTTGGAATTCTGGGTTTTTTCTCTGCACCCCCGGCCCCCAATGCCTCTTCATGGTGGAGCAGCGTCCACCTTCAAGATTCGGTCTTGAAGAGTTCACGGCAGTGGTGGGATTCAATTTTTTTTACTGTGGGCATGGCGTGGCTTTGTGGGCGTGGCAGGGGTAGGATACTACAAAATCCCCATTCCCTCCCCACTCCTGGGGGAAGTATACTGAAAAATCCCCGTTCCCACCCCACTAACCTGCTTTCCAGTCCATTCTCCTGTTCAGGGCAACGAAAGATCAGCTGGAAGGCTGTGGGGCGGGGCCAGCCTGTTTGCCGGTTCTCAAAATTTCCACTACCGGTTCTCCAGAACCGGTCAGAACTGGCTGAATACCACCTCTGGTTCACGGGTCTTCTCCCTGCCAGAGGAGACGTTGGACATCTCCCTGGACGTCTACGTCAGCAAGGATGCGGTGACCCTTCTCAATTCGGGGGAGGACAAGATCGAGGAGATCCTGGTCCTTCACCTCGACCGGGGCAAGGATTACTTCCTCACCATCAGCGGCAACTACCTGGCCAGCTGCTTCGGCACCTCCCTGGAAGCCCTCTGCCGGATGAGGCAGCCCATCCGCGAAGTCCCCGTCACCAAGCTCATCGACCTGGTAGGAAGCTGGGGGGGGCGGGGTGTGGAGCCTCCGGGGAGTTTGGGTGGTAGCTGAATTCAGTGGAGCATCTCGCTTCCTTCGCCCGCTTGCTTGAACCTCCTCCGCCCTTTCGTCCCTGCCAGCCGCGGAGGGGACTTCAGCCCTCCCAACCGGCATCTTGCCGCTTTGCGTTTGTTTTCCTGTCGTGCTGTCCAAATCCCGCTCTCCTCAGTGGATCCAGCAGCTGTCCTGTTTCCATCTGCCCTTTAACCCGAGCTTCCCTTCTCGCGCTTCGCTTTTTATCGCGTGCATTTTCCCACCATCTGGCTTCTGACTTCCCTGTAGATGGTTGGGTTCCTTCCTTCACACTTTGGACTCGTGCCAGTTAACACATTTTGTGTCTTTTTCTCCTCTTTTTTTTTTTTGTCGTCTTTTTCCTTTTCCCCTCTTGCTTCCTCCATGTGCTCTCAGGGAGAGGACAGCTACCTGGAAAAGGTAAATAGGGCTGGGGAGCCGTCACGGTTGCTCGATAGGTGGGGGGGAAACAGGGGGAAACACAGCACAAGGGACACTACCTGGTGAGAAATGCAGGGTTTTCCACTGAAGCTTGAAGCATGGGGCATGGGGAACACAAAGCTTGGTGGCGGTGCCTGCGGAGAAGATTGGAATTGTGTACCTGTAGTCCTCGACCTACGACCACAGTTGAGCCCAAAATCTCCATCGCTAAGCGAGACCTTTTTGTACCACCTTTCCACAGTTTTGTTAAGCGAGTCGCTGCAGAGGTTAAGGACTGGTGGGATTCAAATCATTGAACAACCAGTTCTCTGTCCTAATGACCAGCTGGGTAGGCGTGGCTCAGTGGTCATGTGACCATGTGGGCGTGGCCAACTCATGGGCATGGCCACTCGGGTCGATGGGCACTTTTGCCTTAGCTGTTACAATGTCATAAGTTTTAACCAGAGAGGCAGTTTCTGTAAGCAGGGCAATAAAGATTAGGCTAGAAACAACACCAGAATGTTTCCTTCCTGCCTTCCTTACAGGAGGGGGAGGGGGAAGCAAAAGGAGATTTCTTCCAACAACCGGTTCTCTGAACTGCTTAGAAAGTTAACAACCGGTTCTCCCGAATAGGTGCGAACCAGCTGAATCCCACCACTGAGGTTAAGGTAATAACACAGCTGTTCAGCAGAATCTAGTTTCCCCATTGCTGGTCGGAAGGTTGCAAAAGGGGATCACACAACCCCGGGGCACCGCAACCGTCGTAAATATGAGTCAATTGCCAAGAGTCTGAATTTTCATCGGGACCATGGGACGCTGCAGTGGTCGAAAATGTGAGAAATGGTCATAAGTCACTTTTTTTTTCAATAGTCTTGTAACTTTGAACGGTGTTTAAAAGAACTGTTGTGTAACTCGAGGACTACCTGCAATAGATGCACAAGGGATCTATTAACACAAATGCCAAAAAGGGATATGTGTTAGTGGTGTGATATGGTTGTTGGGCTGTTGTTGTTTTTTTTATAAAAGTCAGTTTGCAGGCTTCCCAAAGCCTAGGAATGCCCCGTTTTTCACAAAAACAAAAAAAACAAGGCGTGCAGATGTTTTGGGAGGCCTGCAGAGTGCAAAAACTTTTTTTTTTAATTTACCTCTTCAAAATCGTCGTGCATCTTATACTCCGTGCGTCTTAGAGTCTGAAAAATACGGTAGTTCGCTTAATTAGTGTAAAGATTTGTTCGTGACTCTCAGAGACTCCTTGCCAAGTATTTTCCTGTACAGTGTTGCGTTTGGAAGATATCAGCCT